GACTTCTTGATAACCAAACCAAGAGTTGTTTTGAGACGGAATTTGGTAAGCACGGACAAATCCCTTCTTTTTCAGACTTTGCTGAATTCATTCATCAACAAAGTCTTCAGTTACATACTAACTCATTGACGTCGTGTTCCCCTTCTCAAGGCGCGAGACACGCTTCATGAGTGCAAAAAACCACCCTAACATCCCTGGGGGTCTCTACTGCAATTTCACCTTGTCCTGTTTGTCACCAAGATCATAGAATTTTTGAATGTAAACAATTTCGTTCGTTCTCCCCTTCAGAAAGGTTGCAGCGTATTAAATCGTTAGGTCGTTGTATCAATTGCTTTTCGTCTGGTCATTTTTGTACAAAATGTCCTTCCAATTTCTCTTGCCGTCAATGCAATAAAAAGCACCACTCTCTCCTACATTTGTCTAAAACTTCGGGTAACATACCCCACCCGAAACCTGCGTTAGGTCCTGATGCTGAGACCTCTAGTTTAAACCCTACACGCCCAGTTAATGTAACTCCTGCGACTAAAGATCCGAGCTTCGGCGAGAAAACACCAGTCCTGACAGCATCTGCGACCGGAGAGCCTAGTGTAATTTTGGGTACCGCTGTCGCTCGCATTCAGGACAAAGAAAAGAAATGGCAAACCATCCGGATGCTTATCGACAGCGGGTCTCAGAGGTCCTTCATTACAATAGAATGTGCCCAGCGTCTTGCACTCCCGATTACAGACGTCAAGTCCCGTCTTGTAGGTTTAGGAACCAATGCGTTAAAAGGTGTTCAGGGTCAAATCAATTGCGTTGTAGTTCCTCAATTTTGCAATGGCCCTCGATTGCGCACAAAGGCTATTGTGATTGAGAAAATTTGTGGTGATATGCCTTCTTGTTATATTCCTGTTCATTGGAAGTCATACCTTTCGAACCTCGACTTAGCTGATAATTCTTTTTCTGAGCCCGGTCGGATAGATTTCTTGCTTGGTGCCGACCTTTTTGGGGATATTATTCTCGGCAAAATACTAAATATGCCAAAGGGTCTGCCTACTGGTCTTAAAACAATATTCGGTACAGTCATCATGGGTCATGTTGACACCCCCNTGGGGACTGCATCTGGATTGGGATGATCCCATGCCACCCTCTCTTCAGGTCGAGTGGAACAATTTTTGTTCCACTTTACCATCCCTGAGTTCAATAACCCTGCCTCGGTTAATATTAAGTCCCAAGTGGAGTAAAATTACCGTACTAGGATTTGCTGACGCCTCTTGTTTGGGTTACGCTGCCGTTATTTATTTGCTGGTCGAAAATTCTAATGAGCTGACACAAGTGAATCTCTTGTATGCGAAAACTCGCCTTGCTCCTCTCAAACCACTTACCATCCCACGTTTGGAGTTATGCGCGGTAATGCTACTCATCACTGCGCTAAGATCATTGGAACCCTTGTTAAAAACGTTAAACCACCCCAGCGTTTATTTGTTCACCGATTCCGTCACGGTCCTTTCTTGGTTGCATTTACCGTTTCACAGATTGAAGACCTTCGTCGCGAATCGTGTGGCCAAAATAAGGGAAGCATATCCATTGTCGTCTTGGTACCACGTTCGATCGCAGGGTAATGCCGCAGACATAGCATCAAGGGGTACAGATCCAGTCACCTTGACTAAACAAATTTCTTGGTGGCATGGGCCAGAGTGGATACGCTCGCCACGGGAGGATTGGCCTGTAACGCCCTATAAAGAAAATACTCCTTCTGTTGACTTGCCAGAAACCCGAATTGTAGGCACCATGCTGGCGTGTCAAACCATCTGTTCTCCAGCAGAATTCTTTAATCGGTTCTCGTCGTATTCTCGCATGATCCGCGTGATGTCTTACGTCTTTCGATTTGTCCAGCATTTCTATAAACCTGGCCGACCCCGTAATTTTGGTTGTTTGACTGTCAAAGAGATAGAAGAGACAAATTTAAAGTTAATTAAACTTGTTCAAAAGATTTGTTTCCTTGACAATAACTCGTTAACAAAGTCGGCCCAATTTAGATCTCTTTCTCCACATGTCGATCATCTGGGTATTTTTAGGGTGGGCGGTCGGTTGAGATATGCCCCTTTGGATCCAGACACAAAAAATCCAATTTTACTACCTCCCAAATCTCGTTTTGTTCTGCTTTTAATTGATGAATATCACTTGCAAAATGCTCATGCTGGGCCCCAGTTAGTGCTGTCTCTTTTGCGTCAAAAATATTGGATCATATCAGGTCGACGTGTGGTCCGGTACAGAGTCCACCAATGTTTGAAATGTCATCGCCTTAGGGCAAAGCCAATGACTCCTTTAATGGGTAATCTCCCTCCGACAAGATTCGAACAAGGTCGCCCATTTTTAATTGTTGGTGTAGATTTTGCTGGTCCTTTCCCCATTCGCGAATCACCCCGTCGCAAGGCAGCCTTAGGAAAGGCATATATCAGTCTGTTCATTTGCTTCGCCACAAAGGCCGTCCATATCGAAGTTGTCTCACGTTTATCCTCAGACGCCTTTCTTGCAGCGTTAGATAGGTTCGTTAGTCGAAGAGGAATTCCAAGCAAAATCTTTACTGACAACGCGACTAATTTCATCGGAGCCTGTCGCCAACTAAAAGAATTATACCAATGGTTGGAGTCGGAGGAAGTAAGTCGACGTATTCATCAGCATTTACTTGCAAAGCGGGTTACCTGGCACTTCATTCCTCCCGGTTCTCCTCACTTCGGCGGCCTTTGGGAGGCAGGAGTGAAATCCTTGAAATTCCATTTAACCCGCATCCTAGATCAACAACCCCTTACCTTTGAAGAGCTCTCAACAGTCGTCATTCGAATTGAAGCGATTTTAAATTCTCGTCCTCTTTACCCTTTGTCCTCTTCACCCGATGATTTTTNATTGTAAATATTTAATTTTTGTTTAAAGTATTATCAATCTCCCCTTTCATTTTCCCAAATCCCTCTTAAAATATAATAAATAGTGGCCACCTATAAACAAAAAAAAACAAAATTTAATTGTACCTTTTGGAACGGGTACGGAAGTTTGCGGGTCAATTAAGATCCGCCCTTCCCCCCAACAACATCTATGTACTCAAAGTAATGAAATATGTAGTACGAGCTTGTACTACAGTTTCTATTAAGAGGTTAGGTCAGTTTTTGTCAAAATTTGTGATTTCTAAAGCTTCTTTGTCTATCAGCTAAGTACCGCTTGGTGTAGACTTGTTAAATCATCTCAAGAACATTTATAAAAACATCACATACCAAGAATGAATTTGTCTTCTGAAGGCAATTAAGGTAAAACTAGAATTAAAAATTAACAATTTTGATTTACTTGAAATCGTAATAGTCAGTAAATTAATGAAACAGTAATAGTAAATAATAATAATTAATAATAATAAATATTTATTATTGAAAGATTACTTTACTCGTATTTCGTCTACTTTTTAAAGACTTAAATTTGAAAGTATTACGTACATGAAAATACGTTTAGAAACATTTTGACAAAGCCTCTTGTGTAAAAATTATCATCAAGATATTGCAATAAAACGGTTCATATGTTTAGAGTCATTTTGATGATTAAATTAAAGACATGCTTTACTGGGGACAATGTTTAACTTTTCATAATTATACCAATTCGTGCTGAAACATTTTTCGGCAGTAATTACAGAACTGTCGGAATATAAACTCAACTGCGTCTGTTTGGCAAAATGTTTACATTATACAAATGATACAAAGGAATAACACTCTATATGATTGTAATATTTAAAAACAGAAACTGTTAAGTTACACAAGCAAAAAACGCGATTTATGACAAAGGATTGAATCAAGGAAGTTTGCGTTTATATTTCCATGAAAAGGAAAACGTACGCTTTTATTTTTAGATTTTAAAAAAATTGAAAATACAGTGGTGTAAAAAATGTTTTTAAAAACAATAAAATACAGTAAAAATTTAAATTTCAATATTCTTTTTCTCCTTTCCTTTCCAACCTTGCCAACTACTTAATCTCTCTCTCTCTCTCTCTCTCTCTCTCTCTCTCTCTCTCTCTCTCTCTCTCTCTCTCTCTCTCTCTCTCTCTCTCTCTNTCTTTCTACCATTCTTTCTCTCTTTCACTCTCACTCTTTTAGTAGAACATTACATTGTTGTTCGTTATAAACTAGGTTTTTAACTGGTAAGGATAAAATTTTTTTTTTAACTAGCAAAACTAAAAAGGTATTTTCACTGTGCACCGGGGGACGACCTACTAAGTTGACATTATTCATTTTTATATTAAACAGTGAGCAAATTATAGTTGTTCATTAATATTTATGTAATTACACATATTATCAGCTGAATTCGTGCTTGAAATTTTTTAGAATGTAGGGATTATTTTTTTAAAGTTGTGATTACCGTTTTTTGTTTAAGTTACAAAAAAAGTGTTTTTTATTTCCAAATAAATATTATTGGTAAAAAATCTTACGCAGATATAAATTCAATTCAAAACGTTATGGTCAATAATATGTAACTCTCCCGGCTTAATAAGCCGTTACATTTTCTTATTTAAGCTGATATGCGATGAAATCCGTACATCAACTAAACATCGCATCTTCCTTGAAAAGCAGCCATATTTTCATTTATTTTACTAAAATCTATTTTTTTAACGCTGCAGAACACAATCGCACGTCTATTAATCTTGTACATTTAATATTTTCTTCTTTTATCCTATGCTTTGAAAACGTAAAGCAGTATTTATTAACACTGTAGGTATATTTTCTGTAGACTAGAAACCGCGACTGACTATAAATACTATTTTATTAATATTTTTATTTATTTATTTCAGTGCTGCTGGACGAGGAGCGAGCATGAACGTGAAATCGTTTCTTACAAATTATAGATAAAATAAAATATAATTTATAAAGTGTTAATGTGGTTGTTCTTCAGTAAAACTGACCACGTTAATCATTTAAACATAACTTCCAAAAAATAAAAAAATAAAACATTTTAATAAACATTTAAAAATAATACTTTTGTAATAAATTATTATCTCCCTTTAAATAGACTAAAGGACGCGATGGGTATTCGTAGCAGTTACTGTATATTTATTACTAATATAGACATCTCGTTGAACATTCCTGACCTACATATACAGATTCGGGTGGATCCAAAAGATTTGCTGTTCAACAAATGTGCCAACTTTTCTTCAAATTTCTGTACCTGGCAAGAAATAAAAACAGTAATCAATGGGTAAAATATCTATTTCATTATTAAATCGTCTGAAAACTTTAATAACCGGCAAGGTTGTGTTTTAATGAAAAAACTGTCGATATTATAATTGCGTAAAAACTTAAAATGTTGCATTATGAAACTCAGCCATCTAGTCTATATTTTTTTAATAATAACATTTTACCTTGGGGGCTACCAATTTTCGTAGCGTCCTGAAAATCGGATTCAGAATGCCTAAGAGCACGGCTTCCAAACTAGGGAGTCCGGAGCGAACTTGAAAAAAAATAATAACTACAGAAGTAAAGAAGAAAGAATAAATAATAATAACTAATAACGAGTCTTACTTTAAACGAAAGTTTTTTTTTATTTTTATTTATTCATTCTTCGTTTATTTTTGCACAAGCAAACAAAAAAGGTAAAATTAGTTAGACGGACGTGACTAGACTGTTCAGTCGATCGGTTTCATAGGAATTGTTGTTACTAGAGTCCTTCATTATCGGGAACTGCTGCTTCTGGAGCACCCTGGATTTTTCCAATGTTGTGTATAAAAAGCCGTTGTTTGTAGAAAATGTGATTCAAGTTTAACTTTTCCCACGGGTGCACTATTTGTGTCAATCTCATTGATCAGTTATTTAATCCAATTTGGACCGTTGGCTGAAGTCAGTATTCCTTCCGATGACGACATTACTGACGACAAGCCAAATGAAAAACTGCTTTCAGATAATAAAGCACCCCACCAGCATCCAGCATGCTCAAATTCTAAAAGCCTTCGAATAGGTGCAGGTCAAATAGCCAGTAGAAGTAAAATATTTAAAAAAACGTTAGTACCATGACACCTTCTTAGATTTGGGATTTATAGAGGCTGACGATTAATGCTAAATATGTAATTTGTGCAAAAGTCCATCAAAACAATTAAATTTCTTCATCAATTTGAGCGTACGCATCCAAAACTCGAGAGAATCAGATTGATATTTTCAAGATAAAGATCACTGAACGAAACATTAGTATTCACCTGAAGATAGACTGGCGGGCTTTATCGAAACTGAAAACGGTTTGACTACCCAATCTTGGTCTTGCAGCTTTGTATCTCGAGCGGTTGGGACTTAGGGTACAAAGGACATCTCCAAATTTTGACGCCGTTCACATATTTCATCAATGTGCCGTTCGCAAGCTCCAGCTTTTTTCCTTAACAGATTCAACCCAAAACAAGATTGTTCTTTGTCATTAGCATCGAAAGTTGTGATACACTTCCCTTATAGAGAAAGACACATCTAATTTATTTTCATGAAAATCATTGAAACCTTAGCCAATTTGACATTGTGGTTCATCAATAAATATAAAATTTTAAAACATAATTCCTGTAATCTTAAAAGTGCTTTTCTATGATACAGCCACGTCACGTCTGTATGGAAAAACAGGACATGATGAAGGCATCGCATATCGTCACATAATATTGTAAAAAGTCTTGACTTCAAAGGCTGCGACTTGATTAATAATTTGAACAGACTCATCCAAAACTTTCATAATAGAGGCTGGTATTTTGTTTCATGTCTAAAGCATATCTGTGGAAAATACAATGACTTCTTCTGCATTCCTCGGATTTATCTTTTAATGTAGTAATCAATCCGATTGTTTGGCCAGCCATTGCTTTTGCACCATCTGTGCACACTTCAATACAATAGAGCCACGGAATTTTGTTAGTTGTAAAAAAACCGCCTAACAAACGGAATATTTCGGCACATGTTCCATCGACAAGTGGTTTGCACAGGAGAGATTCACCACGAAACAACGGGCAAAATTTTACTTTGCTATATACTATAAGTATCTAATTTTAAATATTTGGATGAAGGGGGGTCCGCCCTGGATTTTGTTATGTGAATGGATAAAAGGGTGACTAAAAGTCTAACCCCAGCCTTAGAGCTTAGTTCATATCTAATGGTAGAAACGGGTCGTTTAAGTATCGGAAAATAATTAAAAATTATCATTATGTCAGCGTTTTTGTCATTTGAGTCCAATTTTACGGCGTTCAGGGTAGATTAAACTCTTTTTTTTCTTGGGTCTTGAAGGTTTAGTATTACCGAACGCCGTTTCAGTCCGAGCTCAAGTGTTAAAGGAACTAATTCTTTTTTTCTTATCTGATTGTTTCACATCTTCTCCTCCTCCAACTGTTCACCTATTACTTTTGTCTCTTTTCTACACTCCTACGACCAGATAACATTTATCAGTAATTTGTAAGTAACAGACAATACAATTTGCCAATTTGATTAATTTGCATAAATTTAACATGTTCCATAGCAAATTATATTTACAAATTACTTGGTTACTAAAATATGTTTTATTTTTATCGGTACTATGTCAATTGTTTTTCAATCGACTATTGACTTATAAAACGCAATATTTATCGACAAACGAGGGTAATTTACCGACTTGCACGTAAAAAACCGTATAAAGACGGAGAAATACTCTAAAATGTCTACTAAAGGAGATTTATTATGTAGTGAAGTGGTTAATTAATGCTTCAACCTACATACTTAAATAAACTTAGGGTCCCAATTAATCAACTTGATTTTACTATAGTGAAAAAAGTACATTTTCTCATTTATTTATTTTATCTAATGTGTTTTCTTTTATATTAGTAAATATACCGTTGTAAACAAGTAGAAGAGATATCTTCTAAATATTTTCTGTGGAAATAATATATACAA